TTTCTATTTTTTCATATTTTTAATGATCTGTTTAATTTGGAATTGCCAGGGCGCGCCCTCCAACTCATTTAGGCGCACCCTTTCTCAATTTTGCTGCTTGCAGAAACCCTCTATAGTTTGCTTGCTTGAACTGAAAGTTTCGGGAACCCAAGCCACTACAATCTGTTCAAAATTTGGTTTTGATGAATGGATTAGAGTAGAAGCAGTAGGCTTCTCGGGTGGCATTTGGGTATTTTGGAAAAGCCCTCTGCATATTACTATTGTTCATACTCACCCTCAGTTTATCTCTATGTAGGTGAATGACATCCAGTCTGAAAGGTGGTTCCTAACGGTTGTCTATGGCAGCCCTAGTCACCAACTGCGTAGACGTTTGTTTGCTGAACTAACTCATAACTCTTTTAGCCCTCAATGCCCTTGGTTAATTGCATGTGATTTCAATTCGGTAACCTGCCAACAGGAAGTCAGCAACGCAGACCATTTTGCTCTGTCCAGATGTGTGGACTTTAACAACTGGATATCGAGTGAAGGACTCATTGATCTTGGCTTTACTGGCAGCAACTTCACCTGGATAAGAGGCCTAAATACGCCATCATTTAAGGGTGCTCGTCTAGATCGTGCCTTAGGTAACTTGGATTGGAAATTCAGATTCCCCAATGCTTCTGTAGAGCATCTACCTATGGTAAATTCTGACCATTCTCCCTTACTTATCCGCCTTCATACCCGAACTCAATAAGTAAAGTCAAATTGTTTCAAATTTAACTTAGCCTGGACTACTCATCCCTCTTTTTTGTCCATTGTACATCAATTCTGGAGGGAGGACCTTGACGTTGCTTCCAATAACCAAGAAGTGGCCACAGCACTTACAATCTGGAATAGAAGGACTTTCGGCAATATATTTCAAAGGAAAAAACACTTGCTGGCCAGACTGGGCGGAATCCAGAAACGCTTATGCCTTAATACTCGTTCAGACTTATTACAGTTAGAAAGGAAGCTCAGGTTGGAACTGGACGAAACCCTTTATCAGGAAGAATTAGTTTGGTTCCAACGCTCAAGAGAAAATTGGATCACTTCAGGAGACCGCAACACCCGCTTTTACCACGCTTCCACCACGATAAAAAAGAACAGCTCAAAAATTACAGCCTTGAAGGATAATCAGGGTATATGGCTGACACAAGATAGCGAGATCACTAACCATGTCAGAAACTATTTTGTGGATCTTTACACCGAGGAACCTAGCCAAAATCACGAAGCCCCGCTGTACGACTGATTTCCAAAGATATCCGAAATGGAGTGGCAGAGCATCAATGCACAATTTGGAAGCGAAGAAATAAGAGAGGTCCTCTTTGACATGGAACCGTGCAAAGCCCCGGGACCCGACGGCTTTTCAGCAAGCTTTTACCAAAAATCCTGGACCATTGTTGAAGGAAGCCTGGTGAATCTAGTTAAAAACTTCGTCAAAAACGGCAGCTTACCGGTTGGGACCAACGACACACTCATCACACTAATCCCGAAAGTGCCAAATCCAAAAAGCATAAAGCAATTTAGGCCCATTGGCCTCTGCAACGTCCACTACAAATTAATCACCAAATGTTTAGTAGCCAGACTTCGGTGCATCTTGGTTAAATTGGTGGGGCAGCACCAAACAAGCTTCGTCCCAGGGAGGTCCATAACAGGGAATATCCTCGTCTATCAAGAAGTACTGCATTCAATGAGGAATAAAAAAGGGAGGCTAGGCTGGTTTATCATGAAAATCGATCTAGAAAAAGCATATGACAGACTCTATTGGAGGTTCATAGATGACACTCTTAAGGATATTGGATTCAACCAAACTTGGAGGAGGAATATTCGGGAATGTATCTCAACTTCAAGGCTGTCAGTCTTATGGAACAGCCAACAAACTGAGTGGTTCAAACCCGAGAAAGGAGTCAGACAGGGAGACCCATTATCTTCTATAATCTTCGTCTTATGTATGGAAAGATTAAGCCACATAATCGAGGACTCAGTCAAATCTGGTAAATGGAAAGGTATCAAAGTTGTAAGAAATGCCCCACTAATTTCTCACCTCTTTTTTGCAGATGATCTAGTGTTGTATGGAGAGCAACATTGGAGCAAGCAACGGAAATGAAAAAATGCCTGGAACGCTTCTGCGCAGTTTCTGGACAGAAGATGAACCTCCAAAAATCCAGTGTGTTTTTCTCAAACAACACACCTTTAGAAGTTCAACACGCGATCATTCAAGCTGTGAACGTCCCTAAGGTGACCAACCTCGGCAAATATCTTGGCCTCCCATCCTTACATGGGAGACTCAAGAATGAAACTTTCACAAGCTTGATCGAAAAAATGCAATCAAAACTAGTTGGATGGAAATCAAAAACTCTTTCCTTTGCAGGCCGACAAGTCCTCGCGCAATCCGTGCTATCATCCATCCCGTTCTATGCAATGCAGTTCACACTGCTCCCAATAGGGCTTATTGACAGTATGGAGAAGCTAATTACAGACTTCCTTTGGGGAAGCAAAGAGGGCGAAAGAAGGTGTCACCAAGTCAAATGGGACACAGTTACAAAAGCTAAAACCTTCGGGGGATTAGGCATACGGAAACTAGAATCAATGAATCTAGCCTTTCTAGCAAAGTTGGGCTGGAAAATTCTATAGGACGACAACGAGCTATGGGCCAGAATTTTCAGAGCCAAGTATTCAATTTCAACACTAGACTGCTCTCGGTGGCGCCCCAAGGCCAACAGCTCCAATGCGTGGAGGGGAATAATTAAAGCTAGACCGATTCTACAGAAAGGTATTAGAAAGTATGTGAGAAATGGCGCAGGAACCTTGTTTTGGCAAGACAAATGGATCAGTGACACACCTCTGAAAGAAATAGCCATCGAAGTTCTAACACAAGAGGACCTAGAAAGAACGGTTGTGAGCTATTGGGCAGCGGACTCTGGTTGGTTGTGGGACAGTTTGAACCAGCTCCTCCCCGAAGATTTCATAAGCAAGATAGCAGCTTTCATAATAATTGATGACCCGGAAGCAAACGACACCATAGCTTGGGCCAAATAAGCATCCGGTAACTTCTCAGTATCTTCAGCATATGACATAGCGAATGGCGATTCAAACGTAATCGAAGCACCGAAGTGGAACAAAATCTGGAAATTAAAAGTCCCAAATCGTATCCGTTCCTTCATATGGCTGGCAACTCATGAAAGGATCATGACTAACAGTGTTCGAGAAAGAAGAGGTCTTACCGATTGCAATAAATGTTGGACCTGCCGCGATTCAATTGAAGACATAGACCACGTTCTCCGATCCTGTCCGGCGGCAGAATCCATATGGAAAATAATCCTTCCCGACTCGTTCAACAGGATGAGTATGCTACCCTTCTCTGACTGGCTGGAAACAGGCATAACCGGCAAAGGAAGTGGAAAAGGACCCTTCAATGCCAGCTCTTTATTTGCCATAACATTGTGGTGGATTTGGAAATGGCGAAACGAAGCAGTCTTTAGCAATACAGTCAAACCCCTTGGCTTTAAGATTTCATGGATCAAAGCTCATGCAACGGAAGCAGAAAAGGCGTTCACCAAATTTTCAGGAAATCTAATTTCACAAACTATAATGTCATGGAAGCAACTGTGTTGGGAAAAACCACAGGTTAATTTCTTTAAACTAAACGTAGATGGCTCAGTCCTGGGTAACTCAAGCAAGGCCAGTTGCGGTGGCTTGATTCGGGACAGTACAGGAAATTGGTGTCGAGGTTTTGTTTATAACATAGGCAATTGCACACCCTTTGAAGCTGAAGCATGGGCCATACTAAAGGGAATTCAACTAGCAGTAGCCAAGAATTGCAACAACCTGATCATAGAAAGCGACTCTTCAAACACAATCAACTACATAAAGGAGAACAGCCCCCCTTTGCATTCCAGCACACAACATCCTCGAGGCCTGCAAAAAAGAGCTTCGCCGTCTTGAAAGATGGCACGCCGTATCAATAGCAAGGGAGCAGAATTCCGTAGCGGATCACCTCGCATATTACTCCAGAAATTTCCCTCCTGGAGTCCACATTTTGAACTCACCACTGGATGATATACTAAGCTTCTTAGAAGATGATATAGCTGGTTTCCCTTCATGGAGATTTATGTATAACTCTCACTGATTCTGAACTGTAAATATTGGGTTTCCCCCTTCTTTAAAAAAAAAAATACTACATTGTAAAGAATTTTGAATGTTTTTAAAAAAATTTATCTGATGAACCGTATATGTATATGTATATGTATTTTAATTTTGTCACGCATATTTTTATTTTATTTTTTATTCTTGATGATCATAGTATATAATTTTGTTATATGGATATTAATATTTTCCGGTGTATTATTGATTATTGGTAGTACTAGTATTTTATATGCGTGAATCGTGATGCGCAAAAAATATATGCCCAATATTAAAATTAAATATTAAAATCTTAGTTATATTATTTTTTAAAATAATAGTGTGTGTGTGTGTGTGTGTGTGTGTGTTTGTGTGTATATATAATTGTATAATTCATATTAATATTTTTGAGATAAAAATTATAAAAATGATAAATTAATAAATATAACTATGGTAACATTTTAATTTAAACTTAAATAAGTTTAAACTTACCATTGAAGGATGTAAGAAAAAATATTGTGTATGCATGTACATGATAATAATAATGTAGAGAGATAACAGAAATTATAACGGCAGAGATATTTTTGTCCAAAAAATTATATAGTACCACTTTTGTAGCATAAGGTAAAAAAAAATTTTAACAGATAAAAGGGACATAAACCAAGAATATAATGTAGATTGAAACTTTTGTAGATATTCGTGTAAAAAAGAGGTATTTATTTATTTTTTTGAGAAAAGAGGTACTCCGTATTTATTAAAAGGGTGATGGAGTTCCAGTGAAATGCGGGTACAAATATTATGTAATCCTTCCTTCTGCATCATATACTGGACATATATAAGAGGCCATTGAGCGCAGATTCCCCTGACACTCTGTTTGGTCTTATGGACTAATGGACCCCTTTCTATCACCGTAGTTCTTTTCTCTCTCCCTCTCGCTCTCTCTCTCTGACGCTCCCTCTCTCTGACGCTCCCTCTCTGTTATAATAATATTATTATTATAATTATTAAACCAAGTTTAGTTAGTTTGTTAAAAAAAATAAGTGGAGTAGTGGGTCATGCATGGCTTCACTACGTGAAGCGTGGCCTTAATTATAGCCGCACATATAGCATCAATTCAGCATTATTACTATTCTTCATTTAGTATAAATAACTTGTTTCTCTTCATTCATTAATCATCAATTTGTCTTATCATTGTTCAAGGCAATAAACATTCTTACTTCTTATATTTCTCTCTTTCTCTATATTATAGATATATTACTATTTAATATATCTTACATTTGGTATCAGAGCCAGTCAACCTTTCAACCCCGAGATATTTTCCGTAGTGAAATATGGCTGCAAATTTCAATATTGTATGGACGGGTCCCAAATTGGACGGGAAACTCGATTACAATTATTGGCAAATTATGATGTCCACACATTTGCAAGCTCAAAATTTTTGGAGCTTTGTTGATCCCGGTCTACCCGAAGGAGCTGAAGCAGGCGCTATACGGCGAGATAAATTGGCCTTGGGTCAGATTCACCAAGGTGTTCATTATTCCATTTTTGGGCAATTAGCTCGTGCTCAAACAGCAAAACAAGCTTGGGACATCTTAAAGGTGTCACACAAAGGAGTCGATCGGGCACAGAAGTCTAAGTTGCAGTCGTTGAGAAAGTTGTATGATAATTGTGAGATGACCTCTACAGAAACAGTAGATGCGTATTTCACTCGTCTTATTGATATGGTGAATAAGATGAGGTTATACGGAGATACAAATGAAGATGGTGCAGTGGTTGAAAAAGTTCTTCGAACTATGCCGATGAAGTATGACCATGTGGTGGCTTCAATAACAGAGTCACACAAAACCGAGCTCTTATCAATTGCAGAGCTGAAAGGTATGGTAGAAAGTCATATTGACAGGATTGCGTCAAAATCAGAACCACTAGCAGAAGAAGCTTTGAAGAGTCAAGTCACCCTTAATGTGACTGGCACTAATCAAAGAGGTGGAGGATCTGGTAGAGGTCGTGGAAGAGGAAGAGGAGGTTCTAGTGGAAGAGGTCGTGGTAACTTCAACCAAGGAAGAGGACGTGGTAACTCCAACCAAGGAAGAGGTGGAGGTAATACCAAACAAGGTAAATTTCCATTTCATTGCTACAATTGTGGCAAGTATGGGCACAAGATTGCAGATTGTTGGTATAATGAGGACAACAATCGTGGAAATCAAGCAAACATTGCTGAAAATACTGCTGAAAAGTCTGGTGAGAGTTCTGAAACTTTACTTTTAGCCAGCGATAGTTTTTCTGCAGATAAGAACATATGGTTCTTGGATACTGGGTGTAGTAACCATATGTGTGGGAAGAAAGAATTGTTTTCCGAACTAGATGAATCAGTCCAGTCTGAAGTAACGTTTGGCAATAAGTCAAAGGTGCCAATTTTGGGAAAAGGTAAAATCTCTATTCAGTTGAAGGATGGTACTCACAATTTTATATCCGGTGTGTTCTATGTTCCTGAACTACACCAAAATTTGTTGAGTTTGGGTCAGTTGTCAGAAAAAGGATATAAGATACATATTGCTCAAGGATTTTGTACCATTGAAGATGCTAAAGGAGTTTTGATTGCAAAGGTAAATATGTCCCAAAATCGACTATTTCCTTTGAAAATTAAGCATACTCTCCTTGATTGCTTTAATTCTGAAGTTTGTGATGATAATTGGTTATGGCATATGCGGTTTGGGCATTTCCATTTCTCTGGGTTAAACTATCTTGCGAGAAAGGAACTTGTTTCTGATTTACCTGTTGTGAATGTCCCTGATCGTATCTGTGAGATTTGTGTGATTGGGAAGAAGCATAGAGATCCATTTCCCGTGGGCAAGTCAAAGAGAGCTACAAAACAGTTGGAGATTGTTCACTCAGACCTGTGTTCGTTGGAGGTTCCCTCACATGGAGGTTGTAAGTACTTTATTACTTTCGTTGATGATTTCAGTAGAAAAACATGGGTTTACTTTCTGAAGCAAAAGTCTGAAGCATGTGATGTTTTCAAACAATTTAAGACTTTTGTTGAAAAGCAAAGTGGTTATGAGATTAAAATCTTGAGAACTGATAGAGGTACAGAATACATTGCTTGTGATAATTTTCTGAAAGAAAAGGGTATTCAGCACCAAATGACAGCCAGATACACTCCACAACAAAATGGAGTGGCTGAGAGGAAGAATAGGTCAATCATGGATATGGTGAGGTGCATGTTGAAATCTAAGGATCTGCCTAAGCCTTTTTGGGCAGAAGCTGTTGCTTGTGCTGTCTATGTGTTGAATAGGTGTCCAACTAAAAGTGTCCGTGATAAGACGCCCGAAGAAGCTTGGAGTGGGAGAAAACCCTCTATCAAATATCTCAAGGTTTTTGGATGTTTGGCATATGCACATGTGCCAGATCCGTTGAGAAAGAAGTTGGATGATAAAGGTGAGAAGTGCATATTCATTGGTTATAGTGACGCTTCAAAGGCTTATAAACTCTACAATCCTGAAACTAAAAAGGTTGTTATAAGTCGTGATGTCACTTTTGATGAATATGGTGCCTGGGATTGGTTAGCTAAAGATGAAAGTTCAGTTGTTATTCCTGTTGTTGAAAATATTGTTGATGAGCAACCGATTCCAGATAATGTCCAGTCTCCTTCACAGCCAGAGTCGTCAGTTCGGCGATCTCAGCGCGAGCGCCACTTACCAGCTCGCTTGCAAGATTATGTTTTGGGTCATGATAATGACCTGTCTGATGAAGAGATTGTTCAATTTGCTCTCTTTGCAGATTGTGATCCTTTAACTTTTGAGGAGGCTGCTACAGAAACTCATTGGCTTAAGGCGATGGATGAGGAGATACGTGCCATTGAGAAGAATGGTACCTAGGAGTTAACAGATTTACCTCCTGGAAAGAAGCCAATTGGAGTGAAGTGGGTTTACAGAACGAAGTACAAGTCAAATGGAGATATTGACCGTTTTAAGGCACGGTTAGTAGCAAAGGGTTACAAGCAAAAACCAGGTATTGATTATTTTGAGGTTTTTGCTCCTGTAAGTAGACTTGATACAGTTCGAATGGTTATTTCTCTTGCTGCTCAAAATGATTGGAAATTGCATCAAATGGATGTCAAGTCTGCTTTTTTGAATGGTTTTCTTGAAGAAGAAATATATGTTGAGCAACCTGCGGGATTTCTGAAGAAAGGGGAGGAAAATAAAGTGTACAGGTTGAGAAAAGCCTTGTATGGCTTAAAGCAAGCGCCTAGGGCATGGTATGGTTGCATTGACTCATATTTTGTTGAAAGTGGTTTTATGAGATGTCCTCATGAACACACTTTGTATGTCAAATGCACAGATTCTGGTGATATTGTTCTAATCTGTCTGTATGTTGATGATTTGGTTTTTACTGGAAATAACTTGAAACTAATCTCAGAATTCAGGGAGGCACTCATTAAGAGGTTTGAAATGACCGATATGGGCCTTATGTCTTACTTTCTTGGCCTTGAGGTTGTTCAGATGGATGGTGGAATCTTTATTTCACAAAAGAAGTATGCTGCTGATATTTTGAAAAAGTTTAAAATGGAAAACTCCAAACCAGTTTCAACGCCGTTAGCTGAAAAGTTAAAGGTGTCCAAAGATGAGTGTGGTAAGAACGTGAATGTTACATCTTATAAAAGCTTAATTGGGAGTTTGAGGTATCTGGTGGCAACAAGGCCAGATATTTCTTTTGGAGTTGGGATACTTAGCAGATTCATGGAGGAACCAAAAGAATCACATTGGGCTGCAGCAAAGCGAATTCTGAGATATGTGAAAGGTACGAGTAATGATGGAATCTTTTACTCCACTAATGAAGATGTGAGACTTGTTGGGTACACAGACAGTGATTGGGCTGGAGATATTGAGACCAGAAAAAGCACGTCAGGGTATGCCTTCTATCTTGGTTCGGCCATATTTTCTTGGTCGTCAAAGAAGCAGCAGATTGTAGCACTTTCAACCGCAGAAGCAGAATATATTGCAGCAGCAAACTGTGCTACTCAAGCAGTTTGGCTGGGGAGAATTTTGGAATTCTTACAACACGAGCAGGAAGCACCTACAACTATTTTTTGTGACAACAAATCAGCAATTTCGTTGTCCAAAAATCCAGTCTTTCATGGTCGCAGCAAACACATTGATATCAAGTATCACAAAATCAGAGAGTTGGTTGTTGAAAAACAAATCAACATTGAGTATTGTTCAAGTGAATGTCAAGTTGCAGATATCTTTACGAAGCCGCTGAAGACAGAGATATTTCTCAAGTTGAAGAAGAAAATTGGGATGACCAATATATCCAACTTGGTTTAAAGGAGGCAATGTTATAATAATATTATTATTATAATTATTAAACCAAGTTTAGTTAGTTTGTTAAAAAAAAATAACAGGGCGTTTGGTTTGAGATGGGGAATTATGTGGGAAAGGAATTGTAATTCCATGGGAGTTGAATTACTGGGAATAAAGTGGAAATTTAAATTCCAGTGTTTGGTTGACAAGAATAGAATTACTGGGAATTTAAATTCCAATGTTTGGTATACATGGGAATTGAAAGGGAATAAGTAGTATAAAGTCAAAAATGTCCATTATTGTTGTTAGACATTAATTTTAAGTTAAAAAAGGAATGGGTAATTTTGACTCATCACTATCTTTTTTTTCCCAGGAATTAAAATCCCAGGGGAGGACATGGGATTTTAATTCCATGAAAATGGGGAATTGCAATTCCCTTCAACCAAACTACGGAATTTAATGGCCTTTGGAATTCGGTGGGAATTAAGTGGGAAGGGAATTTAAAATCCCTCCAACCAAACGCCCTGTAAGTGGAGTAAGTGAAGCGTGGCCTTAATTATAGCCGCACATATAGCATCAATTCAGCATTATTACTATTCTTCATTTAGTATAAATAACTTGTTTCTCTCCATTCATTAATCATCAATTTGTCTTATCATTGTTCAAGGCAATAAACATTCTTACTTCTTATATTTCTCTCTTTCTCTATATTATAGATATATTACTATTTAATATATCTTACACTCTCTCTCTCTCTCTTTCTCTCTCAGTATTGTGTTGAGATCGAGTGACTCCTCGCCGTTCGGCATGGCCTCGATGATCGAATCTGCTTGGTCGGTGAGTTTTCTGCTTCTTTAACGCTCCGATGAAGTGTTATATCGCCCCGCATTCGGTTTTTATCTGATTCTCTATTGCGGCATTCAATCGCTGCGACTCTTGGATCTGCTTAACTCGCAGATAGCGGCATTGTTTGTATCGTCTGCTTTTAACGCTTTTTGGTTTTGAACTGTATGATTTGCCTGCTGGATTTCCTATAAATGCAATATGAAAGTGGTAGTGAAAGCGAGTTTTAGAAGCTTCCGTAGCCGATTTCTCGATACGAAGTTGATGTTTCGCGAAGTTCTGTATGTGTACTGATAGATTTTGGTCTTTTGTTTATATATATAGTTTCGTTTTTTGCTTTGAAAATGTTTTTCCTTCTTCATGCATAATGTGTTAAAAACAAGTAGTTGTGATGTGAATTTTTATGGCAATGTGACATGTTTCTCATCATTGATTAAAAATTAATGATGCAATTTGTGTCGTTGACCAGCTACTGATGATGCGATTCTAAAGTTGTCTTCAGTTTGAATCATTATTACTTTATTCTTTCCTTTGATTGCCCGCATTCCATTTCTATCACTAATGGAAGTTAAGCAGAACTATAAGAAAAGAAGAGATGATCAGGAACTCAATTTTGGGACAGGAAGTTTGTGAAAACAGATTGAGAATTAGACTGGTTTTCAACCGTGCCTTTAGATTTCATTGCTTTGTGGATTATGATATATAATATACTTCATCATAACATAAAAACTCTGTAGATTTTTCACTCAAGGACCTAGATCATGAACCCACTTAATTTTGCCTAAAACATAAATTATTGTTAGTTTTTCAACAGTGAGATGATATATGTCCTGTTGAGGATTTATTTATGATCAGATTTGTTGATTAGCATTGGGGTAGCCTGTTACTTGTAGTTCCAGTGAAAAAAAAATAGAGGAAATAGGTAAAAGGAATAAGCAGTGTAATTTCTATTTTTGTTTATACACAGGTCTTTTGGTAGTCTAGACATTTATTTGCCTATATTACTATCAAGTGTCTAATGCCCATTCAAAGAATTTCTTTTCTTGATTTTGCAGTATCTTATTACCCATTTTAGTGACTTCCAGTTGGCTTCCCTTGGAAGTTTCTTTCTTCATGAAAGTGTCTTTTTCTTGTCTGGGATTCCCTTCATATATTTTGAAAGGTCAGGAAGGCTGAGCAAGTACAAAATTCAGGTGAGTGTTACTTTTATACTCTGTATTTTATTTTTGTGATGTAACAGGATGACAACTATTTGTTTTCCTCACCTTGTTTTTTTTTTTTTTCAACCCACCCCTCCAAAGAGGGTGTTGGGTGGTTTTAATTTATCTCAACAAAATACTACAAAGGAGATGAGGAAACATAAAGCCAGGGAGTACTAACCCCAAACCGTTTCACAGCTAGGCTGTGAAAATAGGGACAGACCCCAATAACCCATCTTCAAATTGATAAACATTCCAAAGTGTGCTAGAAACAATTCAATCGAAGTGTCTTGCATTTCTTTTTATTTTTGTTTTTGAGGATAGGAAGTCTTATCATGGATTTGTGGTGATAGGACTTGTCATGTGCATTCATTCATGTGATAAAATTTAAAGAAATTGGCACTGTTTCATGTCTCAAACTAACCAATGGTTATTCTGACATTTTGTTAAGAAATCCTCTTTACAAAATTTAATTATAGAGGGAAAGTTCTCATTGAATGCTTAGTTTGAATCTTGTGACACACACACACGTGTGTGTGTGTGTGTGTGTGTGTGTATATTCATTTTTTAAGATATTGGGGACAGGGGTGGGGACGGGGCATATCCCCCCCACCCTGTTGACATCTCTATTTCTAGGTGTCTTCATATTTTATGCGAGGCCAGTAACTATTTCAGTGGACTTCTTTATGTTTCTATCAGCTGGCATTTGGATTTAGTTTCTGAAAGTAGCATTGTTTTAATTACGAAAAGGGAAAGCCACATTCTTTGTCCAAGATAAATTGTTTAACTTTATGACCTCATGTTTGGTGCAGACAAAAAATAATACCACTGCAGCTCAGGAGAAATGCATCACCCGCCTGTTACTGTACCATTTTTGCGTTAATCTCCCTGTAATGGTTTTATCCTATCCTGTCTTTAGATGCATGGGAATGCGAAGTAGTCTTCCCTTGCCATCCTGGTATTTACGAGCTCTTTCTGAACTAAAACATAGTTGAACAGACATAGCACAATTAAATTTTCCCACTGTTGCCTGATACTTGTATTTCTTTTACTCTTTTATATGTATGTATACACTTTGCATAATTTATATATTAATTATGTACTGTGAACCTTCTACTTTTGCAGGAAAGTTATTTCAACTCAAATAATATTCTACTTCATCCTGGAGGACTTTGTATTCTATTGGGGGCATAGGATTTTACATACAAAATGGCTCTACAAGCATGTTCACAGTGTCCATCATGAGTATGTAGAGAGCACTGGTTTTTAATTGCTTTCCACTCACATCTACATTTTTCTATCCAAGTTCTTGTTGCTATTTAAATTTTTGGATCACAGGTATGCAACGCCATTTGGATTGACTTCTGAATATGCTCACCCCGCTGAGATTCTCTTCCTTGGATTTGCTACAATAATTGGTCCTGCAGTCACTGGTCCCCATCTGATTACACTATGGCTATGGATGGTACTTAGAGTCCTTGAGACAGTTGAAGCACATTGTGGTTATCATTTCCCATGGAGTCTCTCAAACTTCATACCTGTATATGGGGGGTTCGTATATAACTTTTGTTTTCGTATTACCTTTTGTTCTTAGTATCTATATCAACCGTAAACTTGTTGGTTGGCTGCCAGGGCTGATTTTCATGACTACCATCACCGGCTGCTATATACCAAGTCTGGCAACTACTCTTCAACATTTATTTACATGGACTGGTAAGATGTTTCAAATTTCAATCAAGTTTAACTAAACCGTACCACTGGTAGTAAGATGAAGAAGTGAAATGCTCGTGTCTCTCTCTCGTCAGGATATTTGGTACTGACAAAGGTTACAGAAAACTGAAGGCACTAAAGGGCAGTAGTGGAAATGAAGCTGACAAAAAAGAGATAGAGAAGTGATAAAAGTTATGGTGGCATGAGGAGATAGGGTGGTTCTTTACCTGAGAGCTGAGCGATCTCGGGGGATCATAATTGTACCCCGGCCAGTTTCACGTGTGCAAACTAGTTGTGTCCAGTTATGGTTTTGACTGTATTATGTGCTATTGGGAATGAATTAGAATATTTTTCTTCATTTTTAAGGTGAGTTTTCCACAAAATATCTCTCATCTCTTCCTTGCACGCATTCATTCTCTGCATGCTGTGCTATTGCTGTACTGATCGTTCGCCAGTGTCCAGGGTACATACATGAGGTTTAATTTACGTAAAATGTGTCTGGTTTGCTTCAATGGAAGACCAAGCCAGCTGGTCAATATTTTGATATTTGAATTCTAGGGTTCTTTCTCTCAAACTACGTCCTAGACCATCCTAACTCTACTCTTACTCCGAGCTCCACTCCAAAGATTGAAAGAAAATAAAGATGGTGTATTATATTAATAAATAAAAGATATAGGGAGACAATTAAGATTGAAAGAAAATTAAGGGGGTGTAATAATAAATAAAGGTATAGGGATACAATTCATGAGGGTATATAGGAAGGACGCACAAGAAAACTTTGGAAAATAATATATGTACTCTCATAATTCTCGCTGAGTATAATTCCTCCCATGTATAATACCTAATAAACAAAGAAAGATAGTAAAATTGCATAATTGATAGAAATGAATTTAAAACTCATAAATCCTATAACGAACACTATGAAAATTTTATTTTTGATGCATGAAAAGAAAAATTATTATCCCGTATAAATTTCTATATAAAAAATGCATTAAATTTAGTAGAATTGTATTTCAAAATGATTACATTATATTTTTAGCAAATGCAAATAGCTTTCCTTTGATAATTTTTTAACGTTTTAATTAGATTTTTAACATTGATACAATAATAACTGAAATGAGAATATTTTGTTTACAATATGTTAATAATGCATGTATTACATATATACTATTAATAAAAACAAAATCTTTCATTTTAACTTCCCGCCCAAATAGTCTTATGTTTGTGTAATATTGTAAAATAGTGTAATACAATTCCTAATAGAATATATTATATTGTTTCCTACTTTCCTATTCGTACTACAATTCTACATTAAAAAAAAAAACAAAAAATTCTGTTATTAATAATCTATACTGCTATACTATTATTAAAAAAAAAAAATCTTCATTTTTAACTTCCCGTTCAAACACTTAATAATAATAAGGTTAGCAGTAAAACAAACATGGAAAAGAATCTATAATTCGAGCAACCATAATGTTCTAAAATTATTTTTACGCGTTATTTTACTATAAATCTAATTAATAGGAATATAAGGAAGATTTTGCAACCAAAAAAAAAAAAAAAGAATGGTTATTAATAATCTATACTTACTATATATAAAAATAAAATCATCCATTATAACTTCTCGCCCAAAACAATCCTGTACTATTAAGATTTGTGTATTATACAATTCCTAATAGAATATATTGTTTCCTACTTTCCTATTCCTATTACAATTCTACATTAAAATTCATATTCTTCTCCCAAATTAAAATTCCTATTCTAATATTATAAAATAGTGTAATACAATTTCTAATAGAATATATTTTTTCATACTTTCATATTCGTACTACAATTCTACATTAAAATTCCTGTTAGTAATACAATACAACAATATTAAAATTTATATTTCTATTCAACAATATTATATTATTATTCTTTTTCCCGTTAAAAATTATAATCTCCATTATTAGTTTTATAATTTTTCGTTAATTCTACCATTAAAACTCAACTGCCTGACCGAATTATTAAGATTTAAATAAAAAATCCTCTCTCTCTCTCTCTCTCTCTCTCTCTCTCTCTCTCTCTCTCTCTCTCTCTCTCTCTCTCTATATATATATATATATATATATATATATATATATATATATATATATATATATATATATATATAAAATGAAGGTATAAAAGTATAATTGCACAATATTAGTATAATTACCTAATAATTATTATGGTAATTAAAAAATTAATTGCACAAATATTAGTATACTTAATTAATAATTATTATGTTAATTAAGCTAATAACTACAAGGATATTAGTATAATTACAATTAAACATGGGTCGTTGGATTGTTTTTTATATATAATAATTACAATTAATCCATTCATATATAGAGGAGGAGGAAACAAAAAAGTAAAGGCGATATGGTAAAAAGGAATATACTTAACGTATAAAAGTAGGCAGAAGGGTCAAATAGACCCATATACTAACATTGATTGTTTATCAAGCACCATGAATTAAAATATGGTCCATCTAGGTCATTATACTCTCAATTATTTTTCATCTAGAATTTTTAGCAAGTTTCTAACAAGTAACTTATCTAATTTGCTTACATGAAAAAATAAAATAAAAACAAAATGCTGACATGTTATTTTTTACATCTAACTTATTGATTTTGTCACTTTTTCGACAGAAAATTTAATTTTTTTTACTTATTTTCAGATTATGTTAATTTCTTCTACGATTTTTTTTTAAATAGTGAATCTATTTTTCCCGTCGGCTGTGAAATAAGTATGTTACCGCTTTTGTGGTTTTTGAACCCATTTATTGGCATTGACATTGGTTTTTATTTTGGTTTTGGATGGTGCGTTTATGAGACTCTTTGGTACACACCTGAGATTGAGGAGCTTGGAAAAAAGCTGGTTAATAGACTAAGGGACAACGATGATCTGTATATTGCTCTTCATTTGAGGTATAATAACTAACACGACTTTTGATTTAATGTTTGAGGTTATTAACCGACTTCCTTTGAGTGTAGATACGAAAAGAACATGCTTGCGTTTACTGGTTGCAGCTGCAATCTAATTGAAGTAACAGCTAAGGAACTTCACGTTATGAGGTATAATGTACAGCAATGGAAAGAGAAAGAGATAGACAACGAAGAAAGGAGACTTTCATATATCCTCGAGTAAGTGGTCATGTTTTTGAAGGCGATGGGGTACCCCTCCACGACAAAAATATACATTTTGCAAGGCAAATTTATGGTAACAACAGCATGGATGCATTCCGCTTAGAATACCTCTACGTGTTTTCACACTCAACACTCGCAACAGAGGGGGAGTTGGAATCTTTCAAGCCATATAAAAAATAACATAATCCTAAAATACTTTAAAAAAAATGATTTTCTACATTAAAAAAATGACAAAACAACAAGTTAGATGAAAAAAATAAGAATAAATACCCAAAATGGTCCCTCGACTATAGCTAAATTCACAAATTGGTCCTCGACTTTTAATTTTAACCAATTAAGTCCTTAAATTTGCAATTTTAACACAATTTGGTCCTTTGTCTATTTGACCGTTTGTTGACTGCACTTTTTAGGATATATATGTAATTTCATGGTCCATCGTCGATTTTTTAAGGTTCCGGTTGCATTTCTAGACCGCATTGTTACATTTGAATCCACTGTCGGCGCTGCACCCCATGCCGGAGAGATTATAGCTTTTGATAGATAGATCACCGAAGTCCCTGGAGTGGCTATTCGAGAAAGCTGTGACTCCAAGCGATGTAGGCAAGCTGAACCGGCTTGAGATCCCCAAGCAGCAAGTGGAGAAGCACTTCCCCCTTCCGAAACGGCGTTGTCACCTCCAAGAGCGTTCTCTAAGCTGAACCGGCTCGTAATCCCCAAGCAGCAAGCGGAGAAGAACTTCCCCCTCCGAAATAACGATGTCACCTCCAAGAGCGTTCTCTTGAGCTTTGCATGTGAAACTACATATATATCCTCAAAGATCGCAGCCAACAAACGGTCAAATAGATGGAGGATCAAATCGTGTCAAAATTGCAAAGTTAAGGACTTAATTGGTTGAAATTGAAAGTCGAGGACCAATTTGTGAATTTAGCTATAGTCGAGGGACCATTTTGGGGGGTGCAAATCAAATTCCAACTACACGAGATAGAAAAAATCAAGCCTGAGCTCGTGTGCGCCGGCACCTGCGGGCACGAATGTCGTCCGGAAATTGGCTGGCCTTGCGAGCTAAGTTATGCCGAACTTCGGTATCATTTTCCAACATGCCACTTGTAATTTCGGCTCCCCACAGCAGCAGCAAGTTTCGGCCATATATGGCCGAAACATGTCCAGTACTTTCGGCCACACATTTCGGCTCCCCACAACAGCAGCAAGTTTCGGCCATATATGGCCGAAACATGTCCAGTACTTTCGGCCTTGTGGCCAAAATGTCTTGAACAGGCCGAAAGTTTCAGCCTTTGGGCCGAAACTGGGTGAGGTCGAAAGTTGAGACCGAACCCTGTACTCCAACGGTCTGGAATCCGAAAGTTCTGACTGTTATGGGGGTTGAATTCATCTGTTACGGAATTAATATCCTATTAACTCCAATTTTGAATTCTGAATTCAATTCTCAGGTAGTGGCCTGCTGTTATAGCTGTTCGAGAGCCAACTTTAAAGTGTCCTAATAAAAGCTATTTAATCCTTCAACCCTATATAAGAGAGGGTAGAGGCAATAGAGATTAACACAGAAAAATATAGAACACGAAAGTTCATCATTTTTAGCCTCAAAACCTCTCTGCTTCTACTCCTTCTTCAAGCCTTACTGTGTTCATAACCGTGTCTTGCTCGCCGGATTCCTTGTTTGAATGCTCAAACATTGAATCACTAGCAAGTTTTATCTTGGGAAGCCTAGGCCACAACGCTCCTAGCATCTTTGGGAGGTAGCAAATAAGGTTTTAAGGAAAGAGTGCTCACTTGACTCTTTCAAAAACCCAACACCAAAATACTTGCCAAATTTCTTCATCTTTCCTTCCCTTGTTTTTCCAGAAAATAATAATCTTATTTTTTATTATTATTTGTTTTCTACCAACGGTTCCAACAGTCTTAAAACCTTAATTGTTTGTTTTCCCGTTGGTGGTCTTCTCCGAATTTCCTTGAAGAAAATGGAGCATCCCGTATTGCCAATCGATGGGGAGGATAATGTTGTTGCAGACAACAATGGAAGAAACGGCAACAATAACGTTGTTGCGAACAACAGTGGAAGAAACGGAAACAATGTTGCTAATTCCCAAGCTACACCAGTGAACGTTGGTTCACAAGATGGTGGGAGCACTGAGGGATATATTCCCATGTCTCGGGTACCTTCGGTACCGAGTGGTTCGGCTGAAAAGCCGGAGAAG